CTCAATTTGCACTATTTCTGGCAGTCTGCAACCCCCCTTTGTTTCCCAACAATAGCACCTGGGGTAGATTCACTGCTCTCATTGTAACCATAATCAGCTACCCATTTTTTACCAATCTTTTCAGGGTTTAAAATTAGGGATCCCAGATCTCAAGGCCCTCTTCTCTGGTCTTAGGGGGCAGGAGATGCATCTCAGGGCAAGACCACTGCCTTGAAAGTGTGCACAGCTCACAGTTGTAAACCGCTTAGACATCCCATGCGCGATATGAAGCGGTATATAATTGAAGCTGCTTTGCATGTATTTTTCTCATTTGTAAGACTTGGCCCTTTTTATTTGAATTGCATACTCTGTGTAAGTGTGCTTGATGTTACCTTTGCCCTTTTGAGAATTGCATTTACAGAACTACATTTCCAAACTAGGCCAATGTATGTTTTGAATGGCAGATATAGAAACATGCAGAGAAATTTAAGGCTCAGCATTTGTGACGTGGGCGAGGTAGAAGATATTTCACACTCTTTACTCTATTGCCAGCTTTATGAAAACCCGAGGAAGAGATTCTTGGGACAGATTTTGGCTTCTTTATTGGGTGAGAGCTCTTACATGAGCTGCTAATGTCAGGCAGCGATCCATATGTCACACAGAAAACAGCTTTATTTGCTAAGGCTACTGAAAAGTATTCTTGCTAGTTATTTTAAAGATTTTCAAATTTACTCTGAGTTTTTTGTATGGATGTACTATACACACAAATACGCACACTTGCAAAACAACCAAAAACATGCAATACATGAAAAAACTGGCGTTTAGTCAAATACAATAAATGACTGATTGGCTAGCTTAATACATTTAATGACATCATCAGAGGCTGCTCCTTTATCACACCAACCTTATGACATCACCAGGACTTGCCTTCTGTGACATGACAAGGGGCCATCACTAGATCTCAGTTTTTAGTCTGAAATCTCAAGGCTTGGGGTAGCTCTTTTCTAGCAACCCTATTTAAAATCATTTTTCTTCCCAGATAGGACTAATCTCTGCAACAT